TGAATTGACATGTCTTTTAAGACATTTTTGTACTCTTCTTAGTTATGCTTTATATTCTTTTGACGGTCTTCTAAACATATCTTTTTCTACTGCTTGATGCCAGCCTCTTGAAGTTGATATATTAAGGCTTTCATTGATTTCACTGAGCTTCAGAATCAATATACAAGATATATCTTTGTATGTGCTCTTCAAACATACCATTTTAAATCCAAAGGAACAAAAAGGAGTCTGAAATAGTTAAAATGACTTGAAAACTTGTCTGAGAATAGTGCAGTATTATGGCAAAATGATAAAAGGTTAACTTAAACAGTAATTATTACTTTATTTAATTTCTGGCTCCATATTATGTGTTTACAAACTAAGCTTGCTTACAAATTGGAATGAAACTGTTTCTGTTTTCCATCTTGCTTTAATTCTGTTCAGCCAAAGGCTATGAGCCCAAACACAAGCAAAGCAGCCTAATTTGTATCACTTACACTTCTGAATTTGGCCTTTAGAATAGTGCGTCCATATTAATAAAGTACCGTGCTGCCTCTTTTTGTGAACATTAGGATTGATGGATTAGTTATTAACTTCCCTTAAAGGCCAACTTGGACTCTGTGACAGACCCTGTCTTCTTGCTTTACTCCAAGATTACATCTTGGAGCCTCATAAAGGCAAAAACTAGCAGAATAATTTTGGGAAGCATTGCTTATATAATCAGTTTGCTTTATGATATTTGACTGTGAAAGTTTGGCAATTTTCTGCTAGTGGAAGAAACATGACTTGGGAACAAAAGAAATGCAATCTGCACTGACACTAAGAATATGCTGTTAGCAGTGCCTAAACGTTGAAAACTAAGTTTCCTATGCAGATAGGATTGAAAAAAAGGAAAGAAAAAAAACAAAACTTGTTTTGTGTAAATTCTACATGTATTAACCACAATTATCTCTCAGCAAAGGTTATTGAATGGGTACCCAGCCAAGCGGATACATTTTGCACATGGGAAACGTTCACTTTCTCCCCCTACTTCTTTCCAAAGTTCTTATTTTCCATTTTATTTTATTTTATTTTATTTTTTAGCTCAGGAAAGGTGCAATCTTTTAGGCTAGGCTTCCTTTCTGTTCCCCTCAGGCCACCAGTTACCACCACACTGACTCAGTTTTTTCCAGAGGCAATGCCTTAAGCTAAATTTACTGTACAGAGAGCCATAGATCTGTCACGAGTCACATGCAGAAATTAACTTCAGGTATTACAGAAAAACTTGCAAAGCCAAAAGTAACAAGTGGCTGATTCCGGGAAAGGTTTGAGAACTAGTATGAAACAGCTCCTTTTCCTACAGAGTAGTGCGTGTACTAAGGCCCTCTTCATACTATGGAAAGGGTTTGGCAGTTTGTTATTTGGAAAAGGAATAGAGACATTAATAATCAGCTAATTAATACACATTCCTCTCCAGAATCAGCACCAGCTGTAGGCTTGCCAGGCACCTTATTAAATTCTCTAAGTCTCTTAGCAAAGATATCTTCATTCCAATTACAAAACCCATTTTCAAATATGTTCATAACAGTTACAGTTGGTCACATGAACAATATATTAGCATTATGATATTCTTAGCATATTTTTTCTCACTGTTTGCACTATTCCCATGTTCCTCAAACCTGTAAGTCATATTAGAGGAAGGCTGTGGAGTTAACAGATGACCCATGGTTTTGCCTGTGTTCAGTAAAGTCAATCTGAACACGCACAGCCAATCTGATGTTTCCCAGAGTTGCTGGATTTATTGGATTTATTGTGCATGCTTAGACTGATTGGACTGTCCAGTAGATACAATGCTTCCTGGAAACATCATGGATAATGTTCTCCAGGGCATTGTGCACACACACCCCCACACACAAGCTCCTGCCTGGCATCCAGGAATGGAGTACAACTGTTCTGCTGGTGGAAGGCAAAGCCAAACCACCTCCTATTGTACAGAATGGACCAGGACAAACCTAGACACTTCTATACAGTGAGCCCAACACACCACTATTAAGCTTCAGGGCCAAGTGGGAGCCAGGAAATGGGCACAGGATAGTCGAATCGTCTTGTCAAACAGCAGATTATAAACTCAGCATCTGCTTCCTGCGTGCTATTCTTGTACAGTAAAAAGGAAGATAAGAAGGGAATACCTAGAAAGAAGGAGGATTTTAGATAGGAAGATATCCAGATAGGAAAGGAAATTTAAATATCATTTTCTTTAGGTAGTCTAATGCAGTTATGAATGATTAAAATATCTATTTTCATTGCTGATTTTATTCAGTATTCATAAAATAGGCTTAGATTGTATTTTATGAGTTGATTGCTACGATTAAATCCTGTAAAAAAAATCAGAATACTGTAATTTGCTATGTAATATTTTAGATATCAAGACAAACCTAATACTTTTCATAGCTCTGCAGGATATGAAATTACATGCATATTTCAGTTTTTATTCCTACAGTTCAATGCTTTTTAACAAATTATTTTCTTAAGGATTTCTTAAGGCTTTGTAGTTTAGGACTGCAATCTGCTTGCTATCCACAGGGAGTATTACCAGAGATTATCAGTACTTAAACTGATGAAGAAGATATGTCATGTCTCTTTTACATCTGTATAAAGGCACAACTTCAACAGATTGGCTGCAAAAGACATAATAATTTGATAGAGCTTCTTTCTGTGTTGTTTTTTTTTGCAAGGTAGACTAGTTCTTTTTTTAAAAGTCATACGCTTCCATGAATCCACAACAAACTAAGTGGAGTGGAAGCCTTTACAGTCTTGTAATGCTGGAAAGCAGCAAATCCTCAGTCACTCGTGGATTTTGTCTAGCAGAAACTTTTCTATGTCTTTTGTGAATCCCATAATATGTTTTTTTAAGAGTGGATAGAAGAATGTTGCATTGTACATACATGGAAACATGGATAGCAATATGTGTGACTGGGTTTTCCAGTGCACCATATTAGTCCGAAAGCGAAAAAATCAGGAGCACCTGCTTCAGAAAGAACTTTAGGATTTCTGTGAAAAGTCTTACTGGAAACACAAGCAGTCTTGTTTAGAATATCAGTATTGTATCAATGATATCAAAGAGGTGTAGCAGGAGGGAACATTAACACTATTTCTCTTTCTCTTTTGTGTGCATGTATGTGTTTTCCTTAGCAGTGAGGGGGTTTTTCCTTATTGATTTTCTTTTGTTTGCTGAAGACCTCTTGACTAATTCCTACAAAACCACGGCTAATGATAAATAGAAATGTCATGACTGCAGGATGTACCATGGCAGGATTTTGTGGCTTTGCCTCTTGTCCAGCTCTAGGTTCAGTATCACTCTGTTCTTGCTCTAGATCTTACCCATAGGGCAAGTGTTCCTAACAACTTCTTGCCTTGTCCATCAAGTCTGGAAGCTCTTTCACACAGGAAACCTATCCATTTTTGATTCATTCAGCAATACTAAAAACCTAAATGATGCCTTGGCTTACAGGATTAAAAGATGTTTCATGCCCTTTAAAAAACAAATGACAAAAGTATCTCTATATATTCAAAAAGTTGATCTTGGGCTTTTCACAGAATCATAGAATGGTTTGGGTTGGAAGGGACCTCAAAGATCATCTAATTCCAAACCCCCTGCCATGGGCAGGGACACCTTCCACTACACCAGGTTGCTAATTGGTTTCTCCAATGACTTTTTACTGATCAATGGAGCTCTTCTGTGCCCTCCTACAAAGGTTTGATTTCACAACCTGACAAGAATAAGAAATTATTTAAGCAGGCGAAGTAGTGTTGATCTGCCTGAGGGTCGAGAGGCTCTACAGAGGGACCTGGACAGATTGGATCGATGGGCTGAGGCTAACTGTATGAAATTCAACAAGACCAAGTGCTGGGTCCTGCACTTGGGCCACAACAACCCCCTGCAGCGTTACAGGCTTGGGGAAGTGTGTCTGGAAACCTGAACAGCAGAGAAGGACCTGAGGGTGCTGGTCGACAGCCGATTGAACATGAGCCAGCAGTGTGCCCAAGCAGCCAAGAAAGCCAACAGAATCCTGGCATGTATCAGAAACAGTGTGGCCAGCAGGAGCAGGGAAGTGATTGTCCCCCTATACTCAGCACTGGTGAGGCCACACCTGGAGTACTGTGTCCAGTTTTGGGCCCCTCACTTCAAGAAGGACGTTGAGGTGCTGGAGCAGGTTCAGAGAAGAGCAACAAAACTAGTGAAGGGTTTAGAGAACTTGTCCTATGAGGAGCGGCTGAGGGAGCTGGGACTGTTTAGTCTGGAGAAGAGGAGGCTCAGGGGGCACCTTATCGCTCTCTACAGTTACCTGAAAGGAAGTTGTAGGGAGATGGGGGTCAGTCTCTTCTCCCACGTTATGAATGACAGGATGAGAGGGAATGGCCTCAAGTTGCGCCAGGGGAAATTTAGGTTAGATATCAGGAAAAATTTCTTTACAGAGAGGGTTGTGAAGTATTGGAACAGGCTGCCCAGGGAGGTGGTGGAGTCCCCATCCCTGAAGGTGTTTAAAAACCGTGTGGATTTGGTGTTGAGGAACATAGTTTAGGGACCCTGACAGTGCAGGGTGAATGGCTGGACTCGATGATCTTGAAGGTCTCTTCCAACCAGCCAATTCTAGGATTCTATGATTCAGGCAACGGTGGTCCAAACTGCTGTTAAGTAGGCATTGTCAACTGTATTAAAAGTGGCTTAATTACATTTGGCAATTTTGTGAGGGAGAGTATTACGTCCTGCATTACTGCCCCTGAGTGTATGTATACCACTAAGGATCTCCAATTAGATCGAAACTAGGTGCTTAGAAGGAAAACGTTGAGCCACCACAGCTCCATAATTATAAATTGCAGCATTTGAAACCTGGTCTTCTTTAGAAACTGTGAAACGTAGCTTAAGTAGTACTATTGTGTTTTGTTAACCTTGTTTTGTCTCATATTTTGATGAGTCACCCAGGTCAATCCAGTCTATTACATTTGTAGTGAAAAGGAAACAAAAGCTTGAGTCACTTTACCAAAGACAGTCAGCTCTGCCGGATCACTGTCTCGCTCTCCCACCATGTTTGTTCCAACACACGTGTACATGCCGGCATCACTTTTTCTTGTATTGGAGATCATCAGCTTCCCACCACGTATCTGTTTCAAAACAAAGAATATCTTTTAAACTTCAAATAAATGATAACAGAAAAAAGCTACCTTCTCAGGCAGCAAGTTCCACGACTAAGAGATTTAAAAGTTTTTTTTGTAAATTTATAGCTTAAAAAATATGATCATATATACTTAAATATCTTTAAGCTGTTCTAGAACACATTTTATCCTACTGACTGATTTTACCTGCATTTCAGATTTTTCTTTGGTTTTCATTAGACGCTTTACATTTCAAAGGTTACGTTTCTTGCTGCCTCTTTGGCAATGCAGAGTACTTGTATTTCTTACATGATGATATGTAAAACACTCTTGACATCTCTCTCAAGACAAAGGCAATTTTACTTCATTTTATTTAGTTAATTTTATTTTACTGGTGTCTCATCAGTTTCCATGTTCACTGAGTAAGACAGATTTTCTCTTTCCTTGATGCAAACAGACTGAATCTAGCCCAAAGTGAGAATTCACCTGACTCCCATAAGACTTAACATTTTCCTGGCTACAAAGAGTGCTTACAGAGTGAAAGAGCAGGGTAGTTGAAAGAAAAAAAAGTAACAAATTTGCAACTTGTTAAGTCACAGACCTCAGAAGTTAGACAATGGAGTGCTTCAGAGTAAGCTAGGAATATAGCCAAAGAAACTTGAGAGACAGGGAACGATAACCAGTTCCCTGCCATTCTTTCTTCCTCTACTCTTGAAGAGATCCTAGTAGAAACCGTCTGGCCCACAAATGGCAACTACTTAGATTGTTTAGCTTGAAATACTTCCTTAGGCATCCAAAGCAACAAACAGGCTTCTTGATAGTACTTCCATGTTGAACAAGGTCAGCACTGAATGAGTTACATATCATTACATACAACATAAAACTTTATTGAAGGAATACTAATAGTGAAAAGCCAAGCATTTAAAAACTAGAATGAAATATGTCCCCACACTCTTAATTTATCCCACTTGCTTGCACATACCATGATATAATTTCTAATCACTTTATAAGGGAGGTATTTCTGCTGGACCCTTTTTCATTCAGTACCTGGAATGAACTGTCACAGGATTCAACCAGTGTTAGTCACACGCATTCCTACTCAGGAACAATCATTCTTTAGAGTAAACTTCAGCCTTCATTTAGAATACACATCCCAATTACTACGCTAAATACAACATTACCAATATCATCCTAAACTGTTGGGTTTTTCCCATGGAGTATTTGTGTACTTCATAGATATGACTGATTTTATCTTTAACACACCTCTGATATAAGGTCTGATATTCTCGTTTCACTGAACTGAGATCTCATTTCAGTGAACTGAGAGCTAGAAAAGATAAGGCCAAATCAGTAAAAGACATCCACTGAGTCCCCCATCTAACAGAGCACCTTACATGACCAAATCTACAGCTCTAATGGACCGTCGTTACACTGGTTACACAAGTCAAGCCTCAAGATGTTCAAGTTAGAGACCCAAACCTATAGGAATAAACAACATTCCTCCTCATTGTGAAAGCTCAGAGAGGCAAACTGCCAAGAGTAATGACAAGTCTCTACAGGAAATGCTATAAAAATGTAAAGTTCTGCTGCATTCAGCCGCGGGGCTTTGGTGCAGGCTCTGTCTCT